GAAGAAGATGGGCGGAAGAGGAGGAGGAGAGAAGAGGAAAGAGAAGAAGATGAGGGGGAGGCGGGGGAGGAGAGAAGAAGAAGAAGAAGAAGAAGAAGAAGAAGGGAGCAGTTTTCTTTTTTTCTTTTTCTTACCTGTCGTTTATCTCGCGACCTATCGCTGACGAATGGAACAAAAAAAAAAGAAAAAGAAGATAGTCGGAAGAGGAGGAGGAGGAGAGAAGAAGAAGAAGAAGAAGAAGAAGAAGAAGAAGAAGAAGAAGAAGATGGTGATGATGATGATGATGAGAGGGGGACGGGTGGCTCCATGGCGACGGGCGGCTCCACGGCGCTGGCGACTCCAAGACGCTGGCGATGGGCGACGGGCGGCTCCACGGCGACGGGGGAGTGAAGCTCCCAGGCGATGGCGACGGGCGGCTCCACGACGACGGGGGAGACAACGGGCGGCTCCATGACGATGGGCTGCTGAACCACGAACTGCGTCGGTGGGGGAAGACCAAGGCCCCGTTTGGACAGCGGATGCAGGCCGCCGCAGCCAGTCGGCTGTTCAAACGGGTCGTCGTTTTCCCTCCAAACATCAAACAGCCCTCTGGCCGTCGATCATGGATGATCCACGGCCGGAGGGCCGTCACAATTTCAAAAAAAAAAAGCTGGCCTCATGGGCCCGACACGCCTTTTTTCAGGCCTGGTCGGACCCGGTAGGCCCTGGGGACACCAGCTCACGGCGATTCGGGGTCTGAACCCCCCCCCCCGGCAAGGTGTGCTGGGGGTGCCCGGCCCCCAACCGGGCCGCCCGCCCGGCCAGGCCGCCCGGGACCTCCCTCGGGCAGGCGCTGGTTGGCAGGGCGGCCCGGTTCCGTACCCAGAAATAAATATCATTCAGCGTTGTGCTCGTTCAATTCCATATCAGTCAGTGTTGTGCTATAAATTCGGCTCACGTTGCTGAAATTTTCATCCACATGTTTGTTGCTGTTGTTGCTGTTGTTGCTGTTGTTGGTGCTTTCTGTCTCTCTGACTTGCAGGGCAAGAAGGCAAAGAAGGACGATGAGGATCCGTTTAAGTCTCTTGGAGATAAGATTAGAAATCATAAGGACTTGGAATCGAGATGGGCGGTGTTGCGCGAGCGGAGGGTGGAGTATTTTAGGGGCAAGGATTTCGCAAACTTCATAAGGCACCATTCGGAAATTGTCGATGCTGCAATAGAGTTGGGGACAAGGACGAAGGAATCCCTACCGTCAGGTCTGACCTCTGAAGAGCAAGTGGCATCGTTGCTGCTGAGAAGACGTCTTATTATACGATGCGATCGAGTCAACAAGGTGCCGCGGCCTGGGAAGAAGAGGCTGTCAAGCTGGCCTAGGAGGCTGGATTTGCATGGGGTGCGTGTCTGGAGGTGCGACGGGTGCTGCGCTGGGGGGGAGAAGTGTGAGAGGGTTGATTTGATGGTTCTGGGCTTAACAACGTGCTTAAAGGGAAAAGAAATAAACAACGTGCTTAAAGGGAAAAGAAATAAAGCCCTGAGAGCGCGGGTGTCTTGAAAGAATTGGGGGGGGCAAATCAAATCTGGCAATGAGGGCCAAAAATGAGAGAGGGTTGAGGGTTCTGGGAGTTACAACGCCCTTAGGGGGAAAATAAATAAAGCCCCGAGAGCGGGTGTCTTGAAAGAATTGTGGGGTAAATCAAATCTGGCAATGAAGGCCTCACCACACCACTCATGCAACGAAGAAATATGGGAGAGAATATTCCTCCAAATGGTGGCCAGATTCATCCGTTACTATTTATAGCAACGGATGACTTTTGCCTACCTCCGTGGGAAGACGCACTTGCATTTTGTTCGTTTTGTGAATGGTGTGGCGAGGCCCTGAATCTGTGAAAGGCAGTGACCTGGAAATTAATGGGGGGGGTTGCGCTTCAAAATGAATTTGGAAGAGTGGGTGGCTTTTTGAAGAAATGGCACTTCGATGATTTATCCTGAAAGCTAACATGGCAGTGGGGTGTTCACAATGGATGTGGTGATGGGTGCTTTATATTTTTCCACTTCCTTTTGCGTACTGCTCCATCTTGTCCGGAAAAGAGTGCATGGTCGTTATCGCTGTATCTAGATGGAGGATTGCCCCCAGTACAGCTGTAATGGCCGTGCATTCTACTCTATTCAGGGGGAAACAACAGTCAGTAGCTCGTGTGGATGGGTTGTAATGGGACAGGACATAGCGGTTGTTGCACCCCATCACCTGATTGTGCGACTGGCCTATAGGAGGGAGCGTAACGACAGTTCAAACCTAACCCACAGGCAGTTTGCCCACTGGAAATGTCCGTGCGTACCTAGGCTTCCCTGCCCCCCCTCCCCCTCCCTCCTCTCATCCATCCACCGGCACACTCCGCCATGGCGGTCCAACTGCATGGCAATGCTGGTTTTGCTTCGAAGTGTTTCTGGGTGCTCAGGAGAGTGGGAGGTTTGGGTCCGGCTGGGTGTGTAGTTCGGGTTAATACGCAGCAGAGGGTCTCCTTTCAATCAATCATTCGTTCGTTCACACTTTCTCAAGAAGAAGAAGAAGGAGAGGAAGAAGAAGAAGAAGAAGAAGAAGAAGAAGAAGAAGAAGAAGAAGAAGAAGAAGAAGAAGAAGAAGAAGAAGAACTGTAATCGAGGAAGGCCGCTGTGTTGCTATGCAGGTCCCTTGTACCTCTGGAACAAAATTTTGAACCAATCTTCTGATGACAATTGTAGATGGAGACCTCCTCTCTTTTTCTCTCACAACTCTCAGGTGCCTTTCGCAACATCTCTGACAGAGTTTACCCAATTCATCCTTCTGACAAGATCTTGTACACGTGACGAGATCTTGTACACGTGATATGCAAGGTGCTTGCCACGTCCTCAGTAGCGACCCTCTTCCTCTCTCCCCTTGTCCCTCCCTCCCTCCCTCCCTCCCTCCCTCTCTCCCTCCCTCCCTCCCTCCCTCTCTCTCTCACTGTGTTTCTGGTTGACGGTCTTGTTCACTTTTTCTGTGAGCTCTGTCTTTCTCTGCAACTGTGTTGATCCATCTTTTTGTTGCTTTTTGCGTTGCAGACTCGGTTTGTGAGGACATGGTAATTATCGAAGAACTTCGGGCATAATCACACCAGGACTTTTTTTAATGTATCTGACTGCAATTACGACCAGAGATGGATGAATCTGACGGCAATCACGCCCAGAGCTTAGTAGAAAAAGTCCTACCATCTTCACCCGAATAGAAAGCCCGGTCATTATAGCTGTATTGGGGCAACTTTCACTCCAGCTGCAGCTATATGATGACCGGGCGTTCTATTTGGGGGAAGCCGGTAGGTAGTGTGAAATTTTTGCCCTTAGTCACCGTTTCTAGATGCTGAACATGGAGTGTTGTGTTGTTTGACTGTGATGGTATTTATTTCTCAGGAGCAACTGTTCACAGAAGACGATGGCTTCTTCGCATGGACCTATGACAGGAGCACCACCCTTTTGCAGACGCTGATGTCGTTTCTTGTCCCGGTTCTGACTATCGGGATATGCTTGTTTCCCGTCTTTCCATATTGGTTCAAGCTCGGTGTTCTGTACACCTGCCTGACATTCCTGGGCGTCATCTTTTCACTCTTGACAGGTGAGTCGCAGTCAAACTTAGTGCAGCCGTGCATTTCCATCCCCACTACAATACAAATCGTTTTTGTTTCCCCAAATTCCCCTTGAAAAAAAAATAAAAAAAATCATGAATCTTATCTTGTTGTGCAGAACCATTACATTACCCATGGGCCTCGCTCCACCGCTTGGAGAAAGGCAAGAAAATGGTGCAGTGATGCGGACCCCGTGGACCCCGTTGCTGATGCGGACCCCGTGACGTTTTGAACGGCGAACGAGGACCCCGCGGACCCTGTGGAACACACCCCMCCCCCCCCCCCCCAAAAAAAAAAAAATCCAAAAAGTGTTTAAAAATCTGAAAAAAATGTTTGCAGAAAATAAACTGAACGACATTTGCCTCAGCGTTACACCCAATTTCTTTACCAAATTTGGAATAAAAATAAAATACGGGAAAAAAATTCAAAAAATGATAATAATGAAAATAAGAAAAAATGAAGAGAATTAAAATCAGTGCGTGGATGGGGACGTTTTAAACTCCGCCATCTTTGGCGATTTTTCGTTTTTTTTCGGCTTAGTCAAATGTCCTGAAAATTTAGAAATATGTATCTTACATGATTCAAAAAATAATAAAATTTTTTAGGCCCCGAAATAAAGTGACAACAAAAACTGGAAAAGAGAAGAAAAAAACGAAATAGTGAGTGGGCGAGCACATTTTGACGCTGCCATCTTTGCCGATTTTTTTTTTTTTTTTTTGGCTTTGCAAAATGCCTTCAAAATTTGTAGGCATGTATCTCACATCATAAAGAACTCAAAAAATAATAATAATAAAAAAAACTATAATTTTTAGCCCCCAAATTATTTTTGGCGGGGGCCGTCATGCGCTTAGACAGTCGGTGAGTGGTGCAGCTAGCGCCTTTAACCGTTGCTCCACGACAGAATATGCTTCCTTTGGCCCCAGCCTTGCAATATTTCTTCATCCCCTATTCCTCAAATTTTGGAGGGTCAGGGCTAGCGCACCACAATGGCTGGCAGCACCACCCAGAAATGAAAAAAAAAAAAAAGTGCCCCTGACGGTTCGGCACAGCTGGGCGCACAGTATGGTGCCGCCAGGCCCGGGTCGTACTGGTCGTTTAACAGCACTGCCTAAGGCATGGAGCAAATGTATGCGCGCAGGTGACAGGAAACCTAGCAGAACAACACAGACCTGGAAGAGTCGGAAGTTGAGCAAATTTTTGTTATGCTCTTTGTGCAAGGGCAAATTGAAGTGAGAGCGTTTATCGAGCGTCAAATGGCTGGCAGACCTCCATTGTTCTTTTGCTTTTCTTTTTCTCTTCTTTTTTGCAAAAGGTGTTTTTTTCAAAAAGGTCCAGTTCCTTACGTCGTCATATCTGCTCGGATCCAAACTTCGGTGGATCTGTATATTAACAGTTTGATATGTTTATGTTTAGCCACGCAGTGACATTGCCTCCACTGGTTCTAGCCTGGTTGTGCATGTTGAAAATCATACCAACTACTGTCTGGATCTAGCTGAAGAGGGGGCTGGGAACGCTCGATGAGTGTCCTCCTCTTTTTTTTTTTTTTTTTTTTTTTGAAGGGTGATGGCGTTGAGATGTCATCATCGACCGGCCCTAGGTAATTCCAAATTGTCCTAATTTTACTCATCTGCTCCCAGTGGAGCTCGAACTGAGGTCTGTATTTCAACAGTTCAGGGGTGTCCCAACTCAGCTAGGCTAGTTGATTGCTCGGATGAGACTCCAATTCAGCGCTGTATGCCACTGTCAAGACCAGGAGGGCGTTCAAAGACGATGTGGCAGCGTGTGGCTGCCAATCCAAAAGGACATTGTTTTCTGCCCTAAGGTACCACATTTGGCCCGTCTGGTGTGGGCACTACGGTTCTAGCTGAAGAGGGGGCTGTTTATGCTTGGGATTAGGCTACTATGCGGCTCTGCATGCCACCGTGTGGACTTGGAGTGCGTCCGGACAGGATGTGGCAGCATGTGGCAGCGAGTCCCAGAAAAGATCGCTGTCTACCCTGAGGTAGCACCTTTGGCCTGTCTACCATGTTCAAGGGGTAGTAGTATATCGACAGCCCCTTCGCTTTAGAGAGCGCAGGCGTTGAGTACGCACAGGTATTATGTACCACCCCCCTAGTACCTCATTTTCAGTCCGACTTGAAGGGCACCTCGTTTTTTGCCCAGATATCTCGTTTTTTTTTTTTTTTTTTTTTGCCCTTGGGCAGGGGCCACACTAATCTTCTCTGTATCGTTCCAATTTTAACTGATCTCCCGACGGTTGCCAATGGAACACTATCTATTCTTCCTCTTGCCCTGCACGTACGCTCTAAAATGGACACAGACTGTGAGAAGGGAAGTAAGCTGTAGCGATATGCCACAAATACAGTGGTTAGCACTGGTAGGGGGCAATGTGACACCCACCTGATGTCCCTTGGGACCTTTCTCACAATTGGTACGTACAGAGAAAATTATCATGACCACTGTGCAAGAATGACATACAAACTGCAATTGGTCCTCCTTTATTGAAGCAAAACGTGGGCCGTGGGAGATAAGGACCAATCGCTGGGCACGGAAAATTATTACCAGCATAGTTCCAGTACTG